TAAAAAGCTAAACTTAATTAAATAATTAACAATAAAGAATGAAAAATGTATACCAAAAAATAAAGAATTAAAATAAATTCAATAATAGAATGAAAGTCCTTCAAAAAAGATATTTAGAATTTGTTGATGGATGTTTTTGTAAAAGGTCAAACTTGGACTCGGATAGTTTCCACATCACCAGGACCCACCTTGATCTAAGCACCCATTAATGCCTTCAACGTGCAACACATGGCTAGGCTCAACAATATCTGATGCTACAATATATGGCTGCATCTCCAGAAATACAAAAGAAGTCCTAGCGGTATCTAATGTTGTAGTACATAGCTACATTGCTAAAAATGCAAAAGAAGTCCCAACGATATCTAATGCGGCAATACATAACTGCATCACTAAAAATACATAAGGAAGTTTCTTTCCTTTGTTATTTCCTTATCTATTAAATTTTATCATTTTCATCAACTGATCATTATTCCTTTATTCAGGTCATCAATAAACCCATGAATCCAAGCTAATGGGGATATTCGGGATAAACTATGGGAGTAATGGCTTGGCAGGTATGAATGGGTGAGTGTTGCTTATCTGGCGAAGCGAGGTATTCACGCCAACGAAGCTTGGCGTTGGCGATGTTGCCTGACTTCACCAGAAAGGGCTGGGTGGCGAAGACATGGAGGCAGACTTGATCCCCAAAACTATATTGTTTGATGCTAACTAGAAGCTTGGAATCTCATTCAAAACCAACCAAAGATGTTGTTGATGAAAGCATGAAAATGTATATCTAAAGTGTGCTTAACCATGGACATTTGTGGAATTATGGGTTTAAGAGTTATATTTTTCTACAAATAATTTCATAATTGTTCACTCTATTCATGTTGTGCAAAATTTTGGTGATTAAAGGTTTGATGACTACATGGAGAGAATTAGAAGAAAAAGGACTTAAATGCAAAGAACTGAAAAGATGAGGATCTAAGGATAAATCAGAAGTTTAAAGGCTCAAGTGAGATTTTCTCCATTCTTGATCAAGGAGCAAATTGCAAAGCTCAGAAATATGATGATCAACTTGCTTGGAATCCAGGAGTTAGGGACCAAGACTGTTATTCTGCCATTAAGCAAAATTGCACAAAAGGCCAAAAACCCGTGACGCTCCACGTAAAGTGCCGGCACCTTGTAAAGAGTGTCGACCCCATGCGCGGTAATTCAGCCCAGCCCCACATCCATTCTAATTAGGGTTTCTAGGATACTATAAATACCCATCCAAGTTATTTTAGAGGGGGTT